TAAGTTCTCCCCAAGCGAGCTCGATGGGCCGAATGGCCTCCTCTCGTTTGTATAGTTCTTATGTTCTTATGTTCTTATACAGGTTCAGCTGCAGAAGGGGACTTTAAGCACTCGGTCGGGTTTGGTGCGAGGCCGAGGCATGATGCAGGCAGATAGGAAGGTGGACGACCCACTTGCGGCTCACCAGACAAAACGGGGTTTATTTAAACAGAAAGACACTAGAAATAACTAAAAAAAAAAAAAAAACAGACCACGAGGGGTCAAAACTGAAAAGGGATAACTAAGGCTGAACAACAAAAGGTTTAGGGTTACCAGGAGCAGGTTGACAGGTAGGTAAAGAACTAAACACAAACTACATATATCATCATCTAGTGACATACAGACTTTACTGACATCCAACAATCACAACAAACCACTGGGGAACTGAACAGAAGCATGGATTTATAAATACAGAGGGGTAACAAGACTAGCAAAGGGCAGGTGAGATTAATCAACAACGGTTGGGAAAACAGGTCACAGGTGAAACTAATAATTAACTCAAGGACTGGGAGGGGAAAACTAAGACACTGACAGAAACAAGGAAACAGAATCACTAGGGGAATAACAGACAGGTAGAAACACAAGCATGGGCACAAATAATCAAACCAAATACAAATCACAAGACACAGGAACTAGAAAAACTCATACAAATGAAACACTAGGGAACAAAATACTAAAACAGAGGAGGTGGGATTCGAACACACAACAGAGGAGTTAATAGGTAACCGTATGCTCAATGAGGCCGACAGGGAGCAGGGGAAAACACAAAGACTGACAACAGGAGGGACAGGATGACCAGCAACGCCTGCTGGCTATACGGGGAAGGGACACAGAGTGGAACAACAGGAGCTGACCCTGACACATTTTCTTAGCTAATGGTAGCGCAGAACTCATAGGGCTGCCTGTGTTCAGTGCGTTTAATTAAACTGGGGTTTCAAGACGAGACTGAAGTCGGCTACTTATTCGCAGCTTCTGATTCGTTTGGCTTCTTAATTGGCAGCGGCTCGTTCTGCAACTGAAGTTAATTCCTTATTCGCCGCTGTAGTAGCGGGAACGTTCAAGGTGGCGAAAGCTGCGCAGTTTATCAGTTAGACCTTTTGTCAGTGAATTTAAACGATGGAACTTTCGCATATAATGAAAATGTTTTTCATGAAAATTATTGGTAATTTTTCTTTTACCATATGTAGCTTTTTTTTGTAGCTGGACAGGCATTCAAAACTACGCGGTTCACGCGTTAACGTTTTTATTTATAATTGTATTTATTTATTCATTGATTTATTTTGATATTCTATATAGCCTAAATGCACAATGTGGGGCTGGCGTGAAACAGCATTTGATAACACTGTATACCAGTGTATATTGTTGTATTGACAATAAACCTCTCTTGAAATATGACACCTGAATAAAACGTCATATTCTTGTCAATACACAGCAGGTATCTCACTATATAGAAAAAATGAAATTGTGTGGAGTTTGCATGTTCTCCCTGTGTCGTCGTGGGGATTTCTCTGGGTACTCCGGTTTCCCCCCACAGTCCAAAGACATGCTGAGGCTAATTGGAGTTGCTGAAAATGCCCTATGATGTGCATGTGTGTGTGACTGGTGTGTGAGTGTGCCCTGCGATGGGATGGCCCCCCTTCCAGGGTTGTTCCCTGCCTCGTACCCATTGCTTCCGGGATAGGCTCCGGACCCCCCGCAACCCAGTAGGATAAGCGGGTTGGACAATGGACGGATGGATGGAAATTGTGTTGACCCAGATTGATTTAACACCGCAAAAATCAGATATTGTACACATTACTTTAAATCAGCTGCCAGATTTCCAGTTATTTTGGAGGCCTAAACCTCTCTGGGCCAGGAAAATATCAACTTCTCAGTACACATCAGGTGTCCAACTATATAGATTATAGATTAAACTTATAATAATGTTTTCATTTCTAAAGGGAGTATACCTTCGGACATATTAGGATTAGGTTTTATAATAGATTATAATTAGACCATGTATATTTACTTGTTAAAGCAAAAAATCTGCATTTAATGTAGCAAGGGACAGTAGCTGGCAAAGGAGTCCTGAGTGAGAGAGACTGAGTCTGCGTCAGGACAAATCCAGGCAAGAGAGGCGATAGGCCCGGGTGTCCTACAAATATTAACATAGTATATCTGCAAAAATGGTTTAATCCCCCCCCAAGTGTCTTGGTTTTTCACAAGTAATAGGTGGCAACCCTAGTCATGATCCTATATCAAGTGTAGGTTTAAATTAACACTATGGCCATGGAGTGCACTCTGCAATTTACGTTAATCAGTACCGTTTCGCACAAATCTGATTGGATGTGCCAGTGAATCTTAAATTAAGCATATGTGTGTTGGCTTTGTGGATTGGTTGAGTGTTCACTAGTTTTGCGCTAAGCAGTTGCAGACCCAAGACCCATTTATATAGGTTAATTCTAGGATTGGGCCAGGGAAATCTGATCGTGGATCAGCATAAGAGCTTGCTGTTTATAAAATGCTTACATTTCCAACTCTGCCTCATGACCCTTTCAAAACTTGCCATGACCCAAACTGGGTCGCGACCCATGGGTTGAGAATATCTGTACTAAAGTATGGACTGTGATCTACCTCAAACAAGGAAACAATATCATGTTTCATTGCCAAATATTTCTTCCCCACAGCTTTTATATTTGAATATCGACTTCATATTTAGTGGTTTCCTAATTTTCCGGAATTGTAACAATACTTAACCCTCAAACCTTCAAAATGGGGCTCCTACTCAAAGACACATCAGGCTTCATGGTTTTCCCTGCTGTGGTGTTGCTGGTCCTGGGCTCTCCTCACCGCACCTCTTCAGGTAGGACTCAGCTCTGGAGCTGTTTGATATTAGAACTTAACACAGGAGCTCTGCTCACGTCATGCATATAGAAACCTTTCTTTAAAGAGCACCTCTGAATATTGTGATTATGTACAGCAAATTAGTCTGAGTCAGATGGTATTTCACTTGGTGTATTCGGTGCTTGAGCAACATGAACATCACTTAGGAATCACAATGTGTAGTGCAGACAAGTTATTTGTGGGGAGTACAAAACATATATAGTGCTAACAATGAGATACACCACATTCAGTGAACATAGGAAACACACAGAATGGGGCATTTAGGGTGGATTTGGTCCCTACCAAAGTTGAACCCAAACCAACGTCTGTGCAGTACAGGATGTACACTCTACACAGTATTACATAAATACCTGAGCGAATATAGCTTGTTGATGTAGTGTGATGCTTGGCCAGTTATAAGAATTTGTGCTGGCCAATATCAATAAACAGTCTTTTCTTTGTATGTGTACAGCATCCCATTCACTGTCACTCATGGCGACATTCATCTCGGGAGAGACCCCATTTCCAGAGCTTACACTGGCAGTGACAGTAAACAATGTCCCAGTTGAGTACTACGACAACAATATTAAGAAGGTTGTCTCACGGAGACACTGGAGGGCCAACAACACTGTTGAGGATACTGACCGCCAATATTTTGTGGTGGAAAATGTGCACAGAAGTATGAAAAGTCAGACTCATAATTTGAGGAAGCGCTTCAATCATACTAACGGTATGTCCACTGTTTTAATTTCCTTTTCATTTATCCCTATTCTAACAAGGGCACTTGTAATTGAAAGATTGCTGGTTCAAATCCCCGATCAGTAAGGCACCACTGAGGTACCCTAAGAAAGGTACTGCCCCCAAGCACTGCTCCCCAGGCGCTGAATTAGCTACCCCCTGCTATATCACTATTTCACATATGGGTTAAATGCAGAGGACACATTTCCTCATTGTTGTGCATTGTGGGGTGTCAACAATGACCACTGATCACCTAATTCTAAATTTTTTTTGGGCAACTTTTTTCAAAATTGTATTGTTTCTCAGATGCAGACTATTTGCATAACCAATAGACAAAAAAGAAAGAATTTCTAGTCCCACCTCAAAGTATCAAAGTACCAAAAAAGGTACTGGAACTTTTGGTACCGGTACTCGACTGGAGGTCGAGGTACCAAAACTACCATACCAAAAGTACAGTAGCTAGTGCGGTGGAAAAGAGCCCCAAAGGTCAGAAAAATGTTTTATCTGAACGAATGTGACTTGTCTCACTGACTGGTACATGTGTGATTATCAGACCAATGCATTATATCAAATAACTCCATTTTCCATGCTGTTACATCCCATAGAATGTTATGGTGAGTGTGAAGTTTTTCCCAGAAATCACAGGGTGTGGGGAAAGCCTAGATGGGATCAAGTGGGCCGAAATGATCCTGAACAGTGTTCTGGCACCATTGATTAATATACAAATATAATTGGCCGTTTCATATGTAATAATGTGAAGCAAGTTCATTTTTTTGTGTGCTGCAATCTAACATTCCTTCCAGCTGATGCAACTGAGATCAACAAATCAAACAAAAACATGCTTTATTTGTACAAGTAGATTGAAATGCATCTTTGCTGACCCCATCTTACTCTTCATGGCTTGGGGGGGGGGGGGTCACAGCACAGGGTCAGCTAATGTGCAGCATCCTTGGAGCTGGGGGTTAAGGGCCTTGCTCAACGGGCCCATGGACATGTGACACTTCTGCCAAGGTCGGTGCTCGAACTGGCAACCTTCTGATCCCAGGCACAGAGGCTTAGCCTGCTGAGCCACTCAGCACCCCCATCTGAAACTGTCACCCCATGGCCCTGCCCCCACACTCAACATGTCTCCTTTTTCCATTCTCATTCCTTTCCTACAGTGGGTTTAAACAGTGCTCAAAAAATATCACCAAACGCACAAGTTGCTTTATGATCAGCTAGGCTATCTGTCTTGCTAGCTACTGGTACAGTCGCTAACACTTTGGCTAGCTTAGCTATGGTAATGTTAGGTCCTGCTCAGAATCGGAGCTAGCATAGGGATGAGGGGTGCCATTGCTGTAGATGACTGTCAGGAATTCCCTACAAGGGCCCTCCTACCCTGGTCTGTCTGTGCTCGCTGTCAGTACTGGCAGGGAGTGATTTTAGCTCTATTAGCCCCGTTGCTGGTATGAGGCTACATCCACACTGCTATGTTTTCATTTAAAACACAGATATTAGTCTCCATTTTCGCTTTTTGTCCACACTCCTCTGGAGTTTTCACCCTCAAAAACATTTGTAAACACTGTTACAGCCATATACTTCTGAAAACCCCATTTCACAATTGCAGTGTGGATGAGTAAATACAGAGACTTTTGATAACGCAGACTCTAAAAGCGTGCTATTTGGTCCCCAATCCCCAAAGCCAGAGCAGACACACATGCACCACCTTCAAGTCTCGCTATACTTTCCTTTTTAAGTTCTACAGTTATTCTCACTGCTTTCCTCTTTGGTTTGCTGCTATCACTGCTCACTTTCTTTGGGGCCATGATTACTGTATCACTAAATGTACTGTAGATAAAGCACAAAAACATAGGAACACAGCTTTCACAAGTTGAACTCGGTCAAGAGGTACCATGAGACTGAGTGATTCATAGGCATAAACATCCCAGTAGGTCTGTTTGCCTTCGCTTCACCGCTTCAGAGACGCGTCTTGATCTATACAAGTTTTAGCAGGTTTATTTTGATTTGTTATGTTCTTAGTTTTTGGTTGAGTTGCGGTTAGATTTCTTTCAACCTATACCTTTTGAGGTCCGAATAGATAGATAGATTTGAATGTGTCTCAACCCATACAAGTTTTTAGCAGGAACCAATTTCCAAGATTTAGGTCAAGGTACAAGTTGAAAAAAATTCAACAGACCTGTTTGATGTCGGTTGTTTCAAAAATCCTTATCTGAAGGTGTGGTACCTTCTGATTGGAAGCATGCCAACATAACGCCCATTTTCAAAAAAGGGGATAGAAGTCTAAGTATCCTAAATCCAATCAGTCTAACTTGTATAACTGGTAAAGTTATGGAGGCTATAATCAAAGAGAAAATGGTAGATTACCTGGACTCAAATAACATTTTGAGGAATAGCCAACATGGATTTAGGAGAGGTAGATCCTGTTTAACAAATTTGTTGGAGTTTTTTTGAGGAAGCTACTAAGGAAGTTGATGATAAGAAGGCATATGATGTCATCTACTTAGATTTCCAAAAGGCTCTTACATAAACTCAAAGTGACAGGTATTTTAGGAACTGTAGCGACCTGGACTGATAACTGGTTAACAGATAAGAAGCAGCGTGTAGTTATAAGAGACACAATGTCACAGTGGGCCTGCGTTCATAGTGGGGTACCGCAAGGTTCAATTTTTAGGACCACTATTGTTCCTAATTTACATAAATGATATAGACAGTAAACTGGTGAAATTTGCAGATGACACCAAGGTGGGTGGTGTAGCAGATACTGAACTAGCGGCTCAGCAGCTACAGTGGGATCTTGATTTACTTAGTGACTGGGCCGATACCTGGCAGATGAAATTTAACATAGACAAATGTAAGGTACTCCATGTAGGGAGCAGAAATATAAAGTACAGGTATTTTATGGGACCTACAGAAATAAAGGTAGCTGATTATGAGAAAGACCTTGGTGTGTATGTTGATGCTTCCATGTCTCATTCTCGCCAGTGCGGGGAAGCAATAAAAAAGGCCAATAGGATGTTGGGGTATATCTCCAGGTGTGTGGAGTTTAAGTCAAGGGAGGTAATGCTAAGATTGTACAATTCCTTGGTGAGACCTCACCTAGAATATTGTGTGCCGTTTTGGTCACCATATCTTAAAAAGGACATTGCGGCCTTAGAAAAGGTGCAACGTAGGGCGCACAAGAATTATTCCTGGTCTTAGAGGAATGTCATACGAGGAAAGGTTAGTTGAGCTAAATCTGTTCAGCCTCAAGCAAAGGAGACTGAGGGGGGACATGATCCAGGTCTATAGGATTCTAACAGGTTTGGATGCTGTTCAACCAAATAGTTACTTCAGCATTAGTTCAAATACAAGAACTCGTGGCCATAGGTGGAAATTAGCGGGAGAACAAATTGGATTTAAGGAAGCACTTCTTTACACAGCATGTAGTCAGAGTATGGAATAGTCTTCCTGATAACGTAGTGCAAGCTGAATCCTTGGGTTCCTTTAAATCAGAGCTAGATAAGATTTTAACAACTCTGAGCTATTAGTTAAGTTCTCCCCAAGCGAGCTCGATGGGCCGAATGGCCTCCTCTCGTTTGTATAGTTCTTATGTTCTTATGGTACAGGAGTAAAGTTAGCAGTGGGTTCGGTGTTTGCCAGACATTCACAGATCTTCTGTGTGTGTGTGTTTGTGAAATCACATGCACACCTTGGTTTTTCAATTGCTTCACCCAATAAATTGTGAAAATGCAAAAATAATGCAGCTCCTGTTGTGAATTAACGCGTTCGCTTGACATTTTGATAGTCTATGATGTTTTAAAATTAAAGTCTTAAATGGAAATTCAAGGAATTTCTTAACAAACGGTTATTATTGAAGACATACTTTGAAACTCCATTCCAATGTGTTATATACCTACACAAATTCACAAGCACATACAGGGCCCACTAACACTCATGAAACTCATGTAAATAATGGTATAAGCTAACATGTCCATTATTAACCTTACTCCAGTCAGGTAAGTTGAGTTAAGAGGTGTTTGAGTTACAAAGTTCTACTGTACATTCTTACAATGGCACACATTTTAATGTTTTTCACACTGTAAATAGATGTTATCTACTTTCAGTCTATTTATTAGTGTTATATGATAGTAGGTCATTGTTTATTATTCTTTAGTAAGTGCTGTAACACCTGAATTTTCCTCGTGGAGATCAATAAAGTGTGATATCATGTATATAATGTATGAAGTCATTTTTACATTTTTAATGAACTATATATAGTAATTATAATTACAATTTATTAGTTATTACTTTTAGCATAGGTCCTGGGTATGACTTTAAACTGCATCTGGCCCTGCAAACGGTCCTCCAACTTGCAGGAATAAAATTTTGGGGGTTGGTGGTGGGATTGCCACTCCAGCCACTGTAAAACAACTCATAACAGCTCGAAATAAACAGGCATGATACCCTTCTGCTTTCCACGGGAGAAGCTCTGCTGCAGCCTCCCCCTGGAAGGCTGCACACACCATGAAGGGGATGGGAGATAGCCTTAAGGAGCCTCATCCCCGGATAAGTCGAAACCATCGGAGAGCTAATAGGGTCAGGCCTGTTTGGGATCGGGGCTGGTGTGGTGCTGAGGCGTCGCATGCTGAATGGTGGCACTTGGGTCCCAGTTTGAGGTGACCCATCCGGGTAGGCAAGTGGAACATCTTGTCTATCCGGCAGGATGACCATCTTTTTCTGCTGTCAGGGGAGCTTTGTAAACTCCGCATTTCGATGGCAACACTCTCTAAGGTACACAGACCGGGGAGTGGCCAAATCTCTGTAGGTGGGTATATGTTCTTTTGGTCTGGTCAGTCTGATGGCTGCCATAGTCAGGGAGTAGCTGTTGCTGTAGTGGATTGGCTTCTCCTGATGGTGTCTGATGTCACTCCTTTCAACAAGCATACTGTATTATGAGACTCAGGCTAAGGCACTCCTTGGGTGTCTTGTCTGTTGTCTCAATGTATGCTCCAACCGCAGTGAGTGATGTCTCATTGAGGGAGACATTTTACTCTGAACTTCACTTAGTGGTTTATGGCTGCCCACGAGGTGACACTCCTCTGGTCATGGGTGACTTCATTGCTACGACTGGCACTGACAGAGCTGGCTATGAGGATTGTGTCAGTCCCCCTGGGTGTGGAGACCGGGGTGAGAGTAGCTCCATGTTCCTTGACTCTGTAAAGGTCAGGGGCTGCGGGTGGCTAGATCCTGGTTCTAACGCCCTGAAACACATCGTTGGACTTGGTATTCCAGTACTGGTGGTGCAACAAAGGAGATCGATCACATTCTCATGGGCAGACGCTGGAGGCTCCTGCAGAACTGCAGGATCTACAGAAGTGCCTGATTTTGTGAATTCTTACCACAGGCTTGTTGTTGCTACTCTGATGATTCAGCTTAGATCCAGCAGGCTACCACTTTCTAGGAGAATGAGGCTGGACTTAGCCAGGCTTGAAAATCAAGCTGTTTCTGATGCATTTGCACACAGTTTGTGTGAGGAGACTGCTGACTCTAATGTGATGTGGGAGACCTTCCATGATAAGACCCTGAAGGTTGCCCAGGGCTGCGTTGGTGTTGCCAGTGTTCCCAGAAGGAGGTATTTCCTCTTTCAGGGCACCCTGGATATTATCAAGAGGAGTTGCAGCGCACGACTTGGTGGCAACTCCAGTCTCTACCAGGAACTGAGGAGGATGGTTGTGAGGGCTCTGAGGGTAGATAAGGAGGTGTTTTTTAGATGAATCAGTGTGCAGATGACACACCATCTGTAGTCCAGTGACCCACTAGGCTTTTAGTCCAAATTGGACAGCGACACATATGCATATATGTACACTATACATCACTGGTCACCTGCCCTACTCCTGGAGATCTACCATCCTGTAGATTTAACACAACTGATACAGATAAGTATGGGAGCCTGCTATGTTATAGCTAAGCTGACTCTAACACTGAGGTATTACTGAAGGGCCTGATTATCTACATCAGGTGTGTTAAATTAGGGCTGCCCCTAAGCTCTGTAGGGTGCTAGATCTCCAGGAGCAGGGTTGGTGATCACTGCTATAGATAAACTGGATCCAGAAGGAACGGATTGAACTTTGATCACAGACTATAATGTAGAGAAATAGCAGTATGTCTAGCCTAATGATTACTACTCATTCAGTCCCTTGGCCATAAAAAGACCTTTGTATTTAAATAATTGGTAATGCTTTACATTAACTACACCTTCATAATGCTTTTATATTGCATTCATAAAACATTCAGTGCACCTTCATAATGTATTCATTACGTATTCATAAAACATTCACAAACATCATGTATGTATACCTTAACATCCCTTAACAGCTTTAATACACATTAATAACAAACATTGTATAATAATAACAAACATTGTAATTGTATAATCATGTAATGTTTGTTATTAATGTACAGTGGTACTGTCACGCTGGGACAACGCACAGAGCGTAGACAAGGCGCAGGACGCAAAAAGTCGGGGCGAATACGGGGTTTATTGGAAGCAGCAACACAAAAGGAGTAAGTAACAAACGGGCTGACATAACAATGACCGGACTGGGGAAACAAACTGAAACGCGGTCTAAATACACTGAACTAATGACAGTAACCAGAAACAGCTGATGTACACGGGGAATCCACATGGGGTTAATGAGGGGACGTGGCACACGAGAGGAGCGGACGATCGGGGCATTGCAGGTAATAATTTGTTCCGGAAACATGCTTGTAATCCAAAGCACTCGTATATCAAGGCAAATTTTCCCATTAGAAATAATGGAAACTAAGATGATTTGTTCCACAACCCAAAAACATTCATATAAAAATAATTAATACAAAATATAAAGTAAAAATACATAAAACAAATTAACCTGCACTTTACCTTTGAAAAGAATCGTGGATGGTGTGAGGGAGACGAGAGAGAGGAGAAGTGGAGGGTTATATTGTAGGACGACTTTCACTATAACTAATGGAATCACTGCTATCTGTTGGCTCACTGGAATCTTTTTCTTTTTGTGCAACTTTAACAAGGAACCTATCCAATGACAGCCGCTTTTGTCTCATATACTATTTCGCGAAAATGTATCATTGCATTGTCCTTAAACAGATTCATTGCTCACACTGCTACGCCCTTATTCGGATAGTGCTTTTCTACTAAATTTTGACTATACGAGTGAGGCACGCTGACTGAGACCGAGCATGGAAAACGATTACCCACAATCCTGCAGCGAGACCTTGCTCGTTTATCAAGTTGAAATTTATTTTAAATTTTTGCTCGTTTTGCAAAACACTCGCAGACCAAATTACTCGCAATCCAAGGTTTTACTGTATATGAAAGCTGTTAAGGGATGCTAAGATGTACATACATGATGTTTGTGAATGTTTTATGCATACTTAATGAATACATTATGAAGGTGCACTGAATGTTATATGAATGCATTATGAAGTTGCACTTAATGTAAAGCGTCACCAAATAATTAATAACACTATATATTAACTGTACCTTCATAATGCCTTTATTATGCATTTATAGAACACTCAGTGCACCTTCAAAGCATATACTGTACTGTACATTAATGACAAACATTAAATAATAAACATTATAATTGTATAATCTTATGTTTATTATTTTAAAGCTGTTAAGGTATGTTAGGATGTTAAGGTATACTTACATACTGCTTATGAATGTTCTACGAATGCATTAAGAAGGTGCAGTTCATGTAAAATGCTACCATATAATTAAGTAGTGTCCCCCGGATCTCAAACTCCTATGTTCTTGATAAGGTTCAAATAGGAAGTTGATTTGACAGCAAGGTCCTGTGTGTTGATGCTGTGGAGCACACAGTGAGCAGCAGGTATCTATGAAACAACCTAAGGAAACCAAAAAATAGAAGTTCTAATGTTGAGATAAACAGATCATTAGATAAATAATTTGTGATCTCGAGATAATGGGAAGAATAAAATAATGAGTATCCTCTCTGGACTACATTTCAGTATGTATGGAAAAAACATTTCAAAACAATGTGAAAATGTTTTAACGTAGCAGGAGGTATCCTGAGTCATTTCGATGTGTCCTTTTCCCCACTACACCAAATCTAAGGTTCCTCTGCCTGCCAGATCCCATTTTAACCCCTGTATTGTGGGAGAATATGCCCATTAAAAAAACCCTGCATGCACATGGGCCTGGGAGTGTGAATCAAACCTAATCCGTCCCCTGGGGTGTGAAGCCCTTGTGCTGCTTACTGAGCAACCCCTGCTAATGTCCAGTTTGGTTTAATCTGTTCAGATTCATCTAGTCAACATTTAGGCCTATTTCAGAGCTTGTCAGGAGAGGAAACCAGTGTACTTTCTAGACCATGAAACTTGGAGCTTTTTGCTTCTGATGCAAGCTTTCTACCTAAAGTTGCTGCTGTCTGCTTAAATCTGTGAAATGATTTTCCTGTGGATCTGAAAAACTAAATATTCTTTGTAGCACATGTATCTTGCTTTTCTCTAAATGAACATGAAATCACTGAAATCTGAACATCATATCTGTAAATTGCATTTGCATTAAATGCTCTTCATTCAGCTCTGTCTTCATAACAGCTGCCAATTGCTGAAAGACTAACTGGGAAAATGTCCCTTTTTGTCGATCTGTCACAGGGATTTGTATTTCTCAGAAATTTGCTGCATGTACCTTGGAAGGTGACAGCCTGAGCCAGTTCTTCCTCAGAGATGCTTATGAGGGCGAGGAGACGAGGACCTATGACATCCTGGAACAAAGATATGATCCACATGTGCCAGAGTTGATGTGGACCAAGTTAAAAATGGAAGCTAAAAAGCTGACTTACATAAATGTATACCAGCCTCTTTGTCTTAAATTGTTAAGGCAATACCTCCAGCAGGACAAGAATGTATTAATGAGAAGAGGTACAGAGCACAGAGGCATTTTTAATGCCTGTCAGTTGCCAAAAAGTGTTTTTTCTGATGGGGCAGAACTGCCTGCTCACATGTCTTTATTTGCAGACTTAATTTTGCTAGTAGCTCTGTGTATGGCTTCACATTGTCAAAATGACACTTGATTCAGCTGATAACTGGCAGAGAGAGAAAGAGATGGTGACCTACATTTTTCTTTTTAAATATTTTTTTGTTTTTGAAATTGGCTCCAGTTAACCTAATTGGACAAATAATTGCTGAAAGTGTATGCTATTGATGTTTCACACAGTTGCCGAAAATAATTTTGCAGAATACTGTTTTAGTTATGTACCTTAATGCTTTCACTGCAAAGTGGACAGTTATTAAGTATCACCGGTACCATGGAAATGCTCATGTACTCTGCAGAGCGACCCAGGGTCCGGGTGACCCAGAAGAGAGACCCAGGCACTGGGGGAGCACAGGTGTGCTGCTTGGCCACTGGCTTCTTTCCCCGGCACATCAACATGACCCTGCTGAGAGACGGCCAGCCCGTCCCAGAGCAGGATCTGACAGGAGGGGAGGTGCTGCCTAATGGAGACGGAACATTCCAGATGAGGAAGAGCCTCAGTCTCAGTGAGCAGCAGTTGAGGGAGAAGCACCAGTATACCTGTACTGTCACACACATGGACAGAAAGGAAGACTTTGGATTGGGTATGTCTGTTTAAAAGAGCAACTTCAACATCTTCTGGTCTATGACTTGCCAAAACTGTTTGGTAGAAGAAATACAGGCTTGTTAGCATGGAGATATGGCTGTATATAACATGTGACTCTGATGTGTGTCAGCAGAACCAGAAGATCATCCAGATGTTATCCTCATCACTGTTCTGGTTGTGACTGTTGTGATTGTCCTGGTTGTAGCCGTCTTCCTCTGTTGGAGAAGACAGACCAGTGAGTGGGTTTTGGTTAAATCTGGGATGTAGCTGTTCTGGTTTTTTACTTGTCTAGTGTATTTTAAATTTCCTTTATACCGAACATTTGGTATAATTGTATTCCAGGTCCACCGGATCCATGTCAAACCTCTGATCCTGTAAGATACACTGCAGCCCAGAGTGAGTGACTCATCTGTAGCTAAAGACCTTGATGAACCTGACAGTTCTATTGTCATCAACCATCTTGTCACCTTATTGGGCTTTTTGTGGGTCATCTCCTCTCAACATCTCAACTCAATATCTCTCTCTCTCTCTCTCTCTAATGACCATTGAACATTAGTTATGTCTTGAGTGGCCTGGAATTAACTCTTCTTATATTTGGTGTCCAAGACCATGCAGGTTTAACAATGATTTCTGTTTGTGCCGGTGAAATCTTCATAAAGCCTCTTTTCCACATTTGAGATCAGAGCTAGCATTTGCAGACTTCAGTACATGTTGCACAATAGCATGCTGGCTATCAAGAATTAGATAAGATTAGACAAGACAGCAAAGTGAATGGCTCTTTGGCTTTTGTGCAGGTGACAATAGATATAAAACTTGAGGCATATGATGTCATTGTTACCATTAAAAAATGTGAAGTACACTAGGGATCTGGGCTGGTAGATGTTTGGTGCTTCAACTCTTTCATCTTTGTGATTCCAAGCATACACATAGCTATTAAGAAAATCATAAGCTAAGAAGATTATTCAAGGGCCACTAAGTGCAACAGAAGAGCATTCAAAGAACAATGAGGTTAGTCGAGGAATTCATGGAACAGATGAGTCTTAAGGTATTTCTTCGAAGTAGAGAGGGAGTCTGATGACCGGACGTGGTTCGGCAGCTCTTTCCACTACCGGGGTGATGGACCTGAAACCAAGGACTTGAACTTGAGCTGATCACCGACAGGGAGCCAGTGAAGAGAGACAAAGAGGGGTGTGACAGAATGCTTGGGCTGACTAAATATCAGACGTGCTGCTCAGTTTCAAATCATTATGATCAGAAATCTTCTATCTGGTTTTTGTTAAAAACACCATAATCATATCTCTGCTATAATTAGTATTGCGTCTCATTTTCCTGTTTTAATCACCTGAAAAATATATCCAATCGCTGTAATAAATTACTGGTTATTTTAGTTTTGATATGACATTTTTTTCCATCTAAGTTGGTAGCCCACTGCAGTGACAGAACCTCTGCTTTTCAGAAACTGAGCAGAGTGACTCCACATCCATCTCCTCCAGCTCATAAGACACTCCCTGCACATCAGGTTCATTGCTGATCAAGCCTGGAAATTCTATGAAGAGGAGCTTCAATCTGGACAGTGTCCTAATTAAGCCAGCAGCCTGTGTGGCCCAGGCCTCGTAAGCACTGCACTTTAACAGGAATGTGACTGACAGCCCTTGCTGAGTGGATGTGTATCATTCTGTAACATAGAGTGCCAAAGTTCGCCTCCACACTCTTGCATATATCATATGGCATAATTCCAGGGAGGAAACCTGTTACAGAAATGAAGTAGCTTTATGGTGCCTGTGAATAAATCGGTTCTTCATCCACCTAAACCAGAATTCTGCTTTTATCAAGTACAGCTGCATTCCATAAAGCGTGTTTGAATCTCACCATTTTACAACAGAACTATGTTTGACTGGTCACTACTAGGGATGTAACGATACACTCAACTCGCGATTCGATATGATTCACGATTCTTCACGATAAGATTGGTTGGTGCATCCATCCATCCATTTTCTGAAACCGCTTAATCCCAACTGTGGTCACAGGGGGGACCAGAACCTAACACAGGAACAATGGGTGCAGACGGGAACCAACCCCGGGCAGTCGCCAACACACCACAGGGTGCACACACTCACACAACTACAGGGCCAATTTAGACTCACCAATCAACCTATCCTGCACACTTTTGGACCGTGGGAGGAAACTGGAGTGCCCGGTGAAAACAGGGAGAGCGTGCAAAGTCCACACAGAAGGGACCCGGGACTGAAGCCCGGACCCTCTTACTGTGAGGCAGCAGTGCTGACCACCGCGCCGCCTGGCGGTGTGGCCTCAATTTCAGATTCACTCGCCATCTCGCATTCGGTCAAAACCAAAAACTGACATATGACGTTGACGTGAATACGCAGTGACATCTGACGTCGAACTGACGTCATGAAATCAAATGTAATATTACACCAGTTTTTCTGTTAAAGTACTGTGAAGAACTCCTAAAGTAGCGATTCATTTTCCACATCAGCCGGTTTAAATCGTCATACATTTACATCGATTTTTAACCGATTCGCGATTCATCGTTACATGCCTAGTCACTACATAACAGTGGCTGAAGCTCAGCACATTTCTATTAATATGCTAATTAAATGTGTGACAAAACAGAGGCTGGTTTTTGTTCTCACACCATGCTTATCCAATATTGTATGCCTCACCCCTTTTAAGTTGAAGTTGGAATTTTTTATGTGATATTCAGGGTCACCTGGAACTGGTTTCCTTGGAGTTACGAAAAAATCTTCTTTTTATGAGAATTTAGCAGAAACCTAATTTCTAAGACTCAGATTTCAAAGAGAATCAAATGACCTTATCTTGGATTTTGGCAGCACAAAATTTCAAATTTACATTCAGCATGACATCCAGATCAATAATTTTAACCAACAAATCTGAAGCACATTAGCAGTTCATTAAAAGAAGCAGAAGTCCGTTCAACAATCTCACACTATTACACTTCAAAAACTTCATGATTTAAATGCTGCAGATGCCTATTAACCCTGCCATATGTTCTGTATTGAGATTGTGAGGGAGACACATTGGTAGCTAATGGTATTATTAAAGACTGACACAACATGCAGGATATTAGTAGCAGGGAAGGGTGATTTTCTTTTTGATCCGATACCAAGTAATTCTGTTCTCCAAAAAGTCACTGATATTTTGTTGAATAGCTAGAAGAACATCATTTCAGTTCCCAAACCTCTCCTCAGGGGAACCACAGCCATTCTGTGTTTTTGTTAAATTTCACTCCCCAGATGTTGCAGCTGCAGATTGAATGGATGTTTCTGTGTTCTGTAATACAGGAAGTTATGAGATAAAAATGCTTCTTTAATAAATCAAACTTAATATTTATGATGACAAGAATCATGGGATGAAGACGGTGCTGAGAACGACTTGGATTTTACATTCAATGACACAGAAAAGTGAACTTTTATCTGCTTCCTAGAATGACTGGACAACCTGCTAATACAGTCATGCAGCAACCTGAAGACCCTGCTGTTGCCTCCACTCCTGTTTTCACACCTGTTTTGCACAAGTGTCCCCACTAGGGTTGCAACGGTGTGAGATTTTTATGGTATGATAATTTTTTCAGGAAATATCACAGTTTCATAGTATCATGAAAATGGTATTTCACAATTATTAGTTGTCCAAAGCATGTAGTACTATGGACAACTATTGTTTTTGTTAGGATTTTCCTCTTTTTTTATTCTTTTACTTTCCCAAAATTGAAATGGGCAGCCTAAACTGTAAGACCCAGACCTACCAAATTTGATGAGGAGGTGTTGATTCCTGCCCACTATTCAGAAAATTTGATCCAACCTAGACAGTCAATGGAACAGCATTTTACGTTTTGGCCTTTATCTCCTGACCCGTTAGGCCTAGACTTACACTATTTATCTTCACTAATTATCATAATTTTTAAAATCTATTTTTGTGAACTAATCCGAGGTTTTCCAACCAATCAAGACAATTATGTTATCAGACCAATCAGGCCCCTGAGCTCAATAATTAATAATAAAAAAAATTCTCTGGATCTGGCAGCTGGGACACATGGTCCAACATTTGCCTACCACATGCCCACTAGCCACACCCAAATTGGACAGTAATCACGCCAATTTTCATCAGACAGCTGTAATTCAACAAAGCCTTAGTCTGTCTTCACAAATTTGAAATCCTACCTCCCAGGGTCATTCTGTGGTTGCAGTAAAGGACTCACCACATCTTAGCAATAGGGGTTGCTACAATTAAAAACTGCTTATATCTCTTGACCTCCTTGTCCAGTCCAAGTGAAATTTAGCACATATGTTTTACCACCAAGTATGAGGTGCAGTCATATATCATAAAACTTTGGCCACCATCAGATAAAAACAAGCGTCCTTGTCACAGGCTGAAATCACCAATCCAAACCAAAAATAAATGACCCATTTCTCGATAAACCAAATTTCATGAAAATCATCCAATGGGGGCGCTATAACTCAAAATAACTTATAACTCGGAAACCACTGGACGTACAAATATGAAATTTTGTGTGTGTTTCTGTCCCGATGTCCCAACAAATCACATAATGAAAGTTCATCTACTCATCAAACATGACTGACAACAGGCAATAAATACCAGCTACAATTACCCTTGTATATGACTGAGAATCATGAAGTCTGGTGTAATTGTATAATATTCTTTCCATTACTCAGGCCAGAGTAAACACACAGGTTGGGCTTTTGGTGGTGCTATAGCACCCATAGTCCGTAGGCCTTTATACAGTAATGTAGATATTATAAAGTCATACATACACTCTTAGAAATGATGTGTTGGAAATTAACACAAATCATGTGTAATGGGATGTTTTGCACATTTTGTGTTAATGTAGACACATGTTGTGTAAAAAACTCTACTTAAATTTTAACACAATATTAGTGTCAACAGCAACCATGATATATAAAGTAATTAATTAATGGTTTGTTAAAAAAAAAACAACACAGCTTCAAGGTTCCACGTTATCCCTGTCACGCCCACTGGGGCGGGACCAGACAGGGGCACCACCTCAACCGCTGATTAGACCAGGCTTAAAAGCCATACGTACGCAGGAGTTCCCTGCGAAGTATTGAGCCGATGATCACGTGCCTTACCGAGCGTTGTTGCTGTCTCTCGTTAACCTGCTTCTTCCCCTCTAGCCTGTCGACCCGCTGTGTGATCCTTGCCTCCGTGCCTTCTCCCCTCAGACTCGTTCCCGTCCCTGACTTACCTCTTTATCCAAGTCCTTCGTCTCCCTCCTCATGTTCCGTGTCCTTGTGTCTACTCGTCGGACGGATCCCCACTGGCTTCGACCCCGGACCTCGCACTACGATAATGACCTCCGCACACCGCTCTGGTACCTTAGCATCGGTTCCACTCGTGGGGAATCCCACTAGTGTTTCCTGCCTTGGCTCCGCCATCCAGGCGAAAGGACCGCTTACTCGAACCCCTGTGGGACTGCTCTCCTGCGGAGATCGCACGTCCCAGATTCTAATAAACCTGTTTCGCCCTGCCTTTCTGGATCTCCGTTCTCCTGCGAGCGTGACAGAATACTTCGCCTCACCGATGGATCCAGCAGGGACCCTGGAGAGTCGTGTCACCGTTGTTGAACAATTCCTCGCCTCCCGTGCTGCCCAGGTGCCGTTGCCGGAGTCTCCCCCTCGTTCCCCCGCCTCGCCACCAATCGCTCTCCCCGAACGCTACGATGGGAACCCGGACCAGTGCAAGGGGTTCCTTATGCAGTGCGGGATCTATGTGGAGGAACACCCAGAGATGTTCCGCAATCACGAGGCCGAGGTGCGCTTCGCCATCTCCCTGCTTACTGGGAGGGCTCGTGAGTGGGCGACGGCTCTATGGGCTGATGACAGCCCGTTGTTGCGATCAGGAAGAGAATTCCATCGTGCCCTGAGGGAGGTATTCGATCATCCTGCGGTTGGGAGGAGACCAGGGTATCGACTCCTAGACTGCAAGCAAGGCAACCGGACGGCAGCAGAGTTCTCGCTGGAATTTCGGACCATCGCTGCTAACCTGAGGTGGCCGGATGATTGCCTTCAGACGATCTTCCTGCGAGCGCTGAACCCTGACCTACAGGATGAACTGGCACGTAAAGGAGAAGCCCCCTCTTTTTCTGACCTGGTTCAACAGGCAATAAGACTGGATAACACTGTGAAAGATCGCCGACGTCGACGTCATCAGTCGGAGACCCCCCGGGGTCCTCCGCTACTAGCGATAGAGGCCGCGGAGCCGATGCAGATTGGTCGCTCCCCCCTGACACCGGCCGAACGTCAACGAAGACTGCACGGGGGTCTTTGCTTGTACTGTGGAGGAGCAGGACACGCCATCTCCTCATGCCCTGCTCGCGAAGACAGCAGTTTTCCGGTAGGTGTATCCTCCTTATCCATAACTACCCTGTCTCAGTTTACCATACCTGTGTGCTTAGAATGGGGGGGTAAACGCCGTAGAGAGAGGGCGCTAATTGACTGTGGGGCAGCAGGCAACTTCATTAATGCAGACCTGGCACTCCAGATGGGGCTGCCTCTTCGGAAACTAGCTCATCCGATCTCCGTGCAAGGGGTAACCAGAGAGCGAATGACAGGCGGAACCATCAGCCATCGTACCACCCCTTTCATGTTACAGGTTGGGGTCCTGCATACCGAGTCACTGGAGGTATATGTCCTACCCAAAATGAGAGATCCGTTAATATTGGGGCTTCCGTGGTTGAGGAAGCACAACCCGAGATTGGACTGGCGATCAGGGGAGCTAACCGCCTGGTCCGCGCAGTGTCTGAGTGACTGTGTGTTTGTACCCTGTAAGGCTACAGGAGTGGAGAGCCCTGAACCGGAGAACCTCGACGCTATTCCGGAGGAGTACCGAGATTTCAGAGATGTGTTCAGTAAAGAGAAAGCATTTAATCTCCCTCCTCATCGGGAA